TTACTCTCGGCTCCAATGCTTGCTTTGAAAGCCCAAAGTGAAATCAAGTGCATTGCCCACTGTGAAGGGATTAAGGGATGATGCCATTACCATTGCTCCCTCTCCTACTCTCGGCTAGGATGAACTGGGTACCGCCCCCAACACTGACTCCTGGAGTTGGCAGATAAAGCCCCCAACCAGTGGGTTTGGCTGGTTCAGGGATGCACTCACTGCTTTGGGAGCTCAGAGTTGAGGGCAAGCTTTCCTAGGCAGGTTGTTCTCAAGTACAAAGCAGAATGACTGTGCATCTCTTGGCAAGTTTTTAGTTTCCAGTCTTAAACTGCATGCAACTCCTTAGGTGGGGCCCCCAACCCTGTCTTGTGAAAAACCAGCATTTCCCATACTAGCATTTGACAACCACTCTCTTTGCAATATAAGACTCCCCAATAAAAGGATAATATACTGGGGGGGGGGGGACAGGAACAACAAGGAGCACTTCTTGATGACACATTTCAGAGTTCATCTAATTTCATTTCCCTCGCTGAAATCGAATGCAGAAGTCTCCTAGGATCATCAGGTATGAAGGAAACGTGGGTCTCCTCAGGTAAGAAACCTCCCAGGTATTCCTTTGTTCTGAGACAGTATCTCATACAATCCTGGCTGGCATCAAACCCTGGATGCAGCCGAGGATGACCTTCAACTTCCGATCCTCTTGCTTCTTCTTCCCAGTGTACTAGATACACGCATGCTACCAATCCTGGTGTATGAGGTACTGGGAATTGAATCAAGGGTTTTACAATTGCTAGGCAAGCATGCTACCAAGTGGGCTACATACTCAGTTCCTTTACCTTTAGCCAAGTTTTCAAGCTCTTTCTCATCCCTGTCAATCATGGGAGTAAAGTATAACATTATATTAATGTAGTATCATGTTATTGCTCAAATGAATTGAAACCATTTCCCAAATTCCTCCAGAAAAATTAATACCATAGAAACTAACGTTTTTAGCTTGTTTGTGTTAAATTTAATGTGTAAGGTGTTTTGCTTAATGTGTATCTGTGCATGTGTGCAGCTGGTGTCCATGGCAGCCAGAAGAGGGCGCTGGATTTCCTGGAACTGGAGTTACAGATGGTTGTGAGCCACTATGTGGATGCAAGGAATTGAACCTGGGTCCTCTGCAAGAACACTGAATATTAAGAACATCCATTAAGAACATCTCTCCAGCCTAAAGACTTACTATTTTAAAAATCAAATTTTAGGCTTGTTTTTCCTACAGGTTCCTCCTCCTTGCTCTTACTGCTTTTGTTTTAGAAAGTTGTAGTTCGTTGTAAGGTCACCATATCTCCTGTATACTGCATTAAGCATTTGATCCTCTTTTGACCTATTAAATAAGAACAGACCAGATGGATGCTCCTCCACTTTCTCTCCTGAGCAGGTTTTAGGCAATTAAAAATGATTATTTTTACTATGTATTTTATGTGTCAGCCAGATGTTATCTGTGGTCATTTCTGGAAAGGATCGCTCTGTGGAGGTTATAAAATACATACTTTCCTTTGGGAGACTGGATTTCAGAGAGTGATCAGGAAAGCACTAGAAGTTGACTTACTCTTGTATTCTTGTTCCCGTGAAAAAACTGGCCTAATAGCTCATCATCTTTGAGGGCAAAGATCTATTCAAAATTTTCCTTCTTCATATCTCTGCATTCTGCCCCTGTTTGTGTTGTGTAAGAGATAGAAAACACACAAAACTCATCTGGCCAACGCAAGAGAAATGAGTATCAGCTTTCCACTGTACTTTGATTTTTCCAAAGAACTAATTGGGCTTTTGTGAAATGTCTATGCTTGACATAGCCAAGTTTTGGCTCACTCAAGATCTTGAGAGCCACTATTTACCACACCGACACACTTCCAGAAATCATAACTGCTTTTGCACAGCTCGTTCTGTTTTTCATGCAAGCTAACTCATCTGCATTTCTCATTAGCGTTGAAATGGTCCAGAATGGGGCAAAGAATATGTAATTATAAAACTGCTCTGTGGTTACACAAGTCATTTTCTCCCTATGCATACACAAATTAGAATCCAAATAATTTTTCCTAAACAAAACATAATCTCTTAAAAAATGTAGATCTCTAGGACATTCAAAATTATGACATGCTCAACAGAAAAACTCAACCACATGAGCACATAATTGAATGGCTAGGTGGAGGTGGCTTCTAAAATCCTACATCTCTGACTAAACTTAATTTAGTTTATGACTTTGAATGGGATGAATCAACAGACAAGAATAATTCAGTTGCAAAAGCCTGACCCTGTCCTGTCAAATACTTTAAGATGCGGTAAGGTGGACTCTGGCTTTAGTACTGACTTCGTGGCCCAGACTGACCCCATGTGGCGCCCACATAGGCCAGGATGGTGTTGAAGTCACTGGGACCTATCGTAAGATATTCACCTTATCTGCACCTGTGGCACAGACTACACCCATGGGGGGTGGAAACAGGGCCGGAAGTGACCTGGGGGAACTGAGGCTGAGGAGGGGGCTCAGAGAGCTCTCTTGCTTACAGCACGGGGACAGGAGCACTTCCGGAGGCATCCTTGGGACCAGGAACCTGCTGGCGTTCATCTGTCTATGTTGTGAGTTATTTCTCCCTGAATAAACATCTATTCGGCCTATCTGTTTCTCCTGATCCTTATTAAACATCAATATCTGATGTCAGAAGTGGGATCCGGATTTTCACCAGACCTGGTTTTCACCCAGGTGGCAGATGCCACTGCCTTAAAGATATTGAAGGCATGCACCTTATGTGCATGCGAGCACGAGCGCACTCACACACACACACACACACACACACACACTCACACACACACTCACACACACTCTCTCACACACACACCCACACACTCACACACACACTCACACCCACACACACACTCACACACACACACTCACACCCACACACACTCACACACACACACACACACGGCTTCAGCTCTGGCTTGAATGTAACCTTGATGAAGTGATTTTTCTACTCAAGTCTTCTCTCGTGTACAAAATGACAGGGTTGAAGTGCACCACTCTTTGACGTCCACTCAGGTCCCTGGTCCACAGGATAGTCTGAAGAGTCACTTTAGGCCCACCATGCTTTAGGGCGACACTGTAACCATTTTAGGGGAAGAAGAACATTGTCCCTGTCCACTGAATCTTTGCACACAGAACCTGGCCATTCATTTCCTGGTTATGCAATCATCTGTCCCTAATGCTCCGAAGTACACAGATCTCCCAGAAGCAAAACATGGTCACCCCAGAAATGACTTCTTCCTCATGTTTAATAGCAATCTCCATCAGCTAGGGTGTCCCTATTAAAGTCATCCGTGCAACGTGTAGATGAAGAGTTGGGTGAGAGGGCCCAGGAGTGCCTCCTGAAGAACCCCAAAGTCCTTGGAACAAACTGTCCCTCAAAATATAACATTATTTGCCTTCGGATCAGGCCACACTCACCAGCTTCTAGTGGGTTTGAGAGATTCACCAGCCTTAATCTTCTGCATGCATCTGTAACTGTCCATAGAGGTCTGTTTCTATGGATGCCTCATATAAATCAAAACTGAAGATAACGATGCCTGTTCACTTGATCAACCCAAATGACCAGCTGGGTTTAATGGGAGGAAGGGAGAAACCCCACTGAAATTAGAATAGCTCCGAAGGTGATAGGATGTAATTATTTTTCCATAATGCTTCTTCTCCAAAGGTGACTGGCTAGCCAGTGAGCTGGCGAGCGCCAGGGCGAGCACATCATGAAGTTGGACACAGCGCTCGGAGCTCAGGTACAAGCCAGGCGTCAGCACTTTGCTATGGCGCTGGGGAAAACAGGGCTTCTTTTTCTGTTCTTATTGGAGTTGTTTCCTTTACAGTTAGTGAAGTGCTTTGAGGGAATTGCTTAATTGACTCCCGAGAGGCAAATTCTAATTTAGATCGGTACAAAGTGTTTTCTCTTTCTAGCCATAAAACATTTTCGTGGATTTGTTCTAATTATCCTTGGGGTGATGTGATCTTGGGTCTGAAAGCACCGTTGAGTCACCTGCCCTCACCCCCTCACTTCACAGAGGCAGACACAGACATCAAAGGATGCACATAGGCTGGACCGAAGTCCCAAGGTGAGAGAAAGGCAGGGGCTGGGCTGGAGATTGACTCAGGCTAGGACTTTTGCTCATGATTAACAGGAAAGGTATTCAGAGAAGGAAAGGAAAGAGGGAGAAAGAGAGGGGGAGGGGGAGGGAAGAGCAGGAGGGAGAGAAGGAGGAAGGGAGGAAGGGAAGGAGGGGAGGGAGAGGGAGGAAGGGAGAGAGGGTAGGGAGGTGGGAAGGAGGGAAAGGAGGGAGGGAGAAGAACTGATGGATTCTTGATGAAAAGGCCATTTTAAAAAGCTCAGGTTCTACAACATGGTAGAGGTGTGAGCAAGCAAGAGCACTGGGTGGGGAGGAGCCACGGAGCAGAGCACAGAGAGCATGAGGCCGGTCAGATATCACCGCTCTGCTCCCATGGCCCTAGCTGCTTGGAGGTGACTCCCAGAAGCTACCGCAGACTCAGCAGCTAGCCTCACCTGGCCTGCGGATTATTTATTTATTTTTGTAGTCCAGGGTATCAAGTCCAAGGCCTCTCTCACAGGCACACAAGCATGCCATCCCCACACCATGGCTACTTCTCCATCATGGACTCATCTGGGCACGTGCACACGTATGTTCAGGTCAATGCATGAACGTGTGGAAAGCAGAGACCAGCCTTTGTGTGGTGCCTCAGACGCAATCTACCTGGGTTTTGGACAGAAGCCTGTAACTGCACAGTGAGTTGCATGGCCAGTGCTGGAGTCACAAGCAGACACCATCACGTGCCCGGCTTTTCCTTCCTTTTAATCATTTCAAGAGACTAAAACAACCACCATCATCAAATCAGGGAGGTGGTATCAAAACCCAAAAGTAGACTAAATAAATAAATAAGCAGAGACTTTTGCATTTAGAAATTTAGTGGTATTTACGTTTTCTCATAACATCAGAATCTCATTAGCAAAACAATTAATGAAAGAGTCCCGTCCACCACAGAAACTCAGGTGGAAAGCCAGGGAAGGGCTCACAGTCCCAGGCAGCAGAGGGAGGCTGAGTGTCACATTTTCATTTTTTATTACATTTTATTTATTTACTATGTGTCAGAGGTAGGGGGCACGAACATGTGGGTATCGCAGGACAACTTCTGGGAACCAGCTCCCCCCTCCCCCATGCAGTTACAGAGAACTGAACGTGTGGTCAGGTTTGGTAGCAAGCCCTGTTCTGTGTCGAGCCCTCTCGACTGCCCGAGAATCTTGTGTCTCAGGCTATTTAACTTCCTTTTCCCTCAGAATTTGTTAGTAGGAACACTTCATTCAGAGTTGTTTAGAGAAGACCTTCATAAAATTAATAAATGTAGGCCTCCTAATAATTAAGAGCATGTTAGCCTCACTTGACTGGAGTCCACATATAGATTCAATTGGTTTGTCTCTTTTGTTTTTGTGAGTTAGTGTCAGGGGAGATTTTAATGGAGAAAAGTCAGTTACCTATTCTTAAATTACATAACCTTGGCAATTATGCAAAAGACATTTTTGTTTTTTACTTGTTGCAAGATGCTTTTCTGGGCCGGCTTCTGCTCTAAGACATCGGAAGGTCATGATAAGCTGCGTACCGCCCGGTCACGTGATGGTATATCTAGGAGGAGAAGCCGTTTCAAGCGTTACTAATTAAGCAAACATACGCCCAAGGTAGTAGTTATCCCACTGCACAACAGTAATTCCACTTGGCACTGCATTTGCAACCCTGTCAGCAGAACTTGCACCTGACTTCTATAGCAGGTTCGGGTTTGCTTGAAGGGGGTGGAACCCTGGTTCTGAGGGGTCAACCTCCACTCCCTCCAAGGACAAGGTTGTCTCCACTCACCTGCCTCTCGATGTCTGAGAGCAGAGAACTGGCCCCTATCCGGAAGAGGTCAGGTGTCAGCCACTCGTCCCCCAGCTCCTCCTTTATAAGAGAGAGCCATGCGAGAGACTCCTTGGCAGTGCGGATGCCTCCTGCGGGCTTAAAGCCGACCTGGGGGGGGGAGAAGAGACAGGAGCCATCATTAGCAGGCTGATTTCAAAAGTGTCACCGTGAATAGACAGACTTGAGTCACACTTTCCTTCTCAGTCCGCTTCCCTTCGGCAAACATAGCTATATCAGTGGAATACTACCTGACCCTACCTGAAAACAACTTTTCCAAGACAAACAGGGCCTGGGTCACTGCTTCGGAGGGGACAAGAATGAGGGTACATCTCACCTCGTAAACTTCCACTGTCTAGACTAAACTGTACATCTGGAGAAGCCAAGGAAAGTGTCAGGAAGAAAATACACCATTGGTCTTCACTGCTTCCAACGAGCCTTCATCCTGAGGTGCAGGTCATTTGTGCCTAAAACTGGATCAGTGTGGCCACAAGGTCATCCTAATCTAACTGGCAGCTGTCCAGCAGGGAGAGCTGAGGGTCTCTTTAACTGATCTAATTGCAGGCTTCTCCTGTGAGGCCACAGGTACACAGAATTCTACAGAGCAGGCAGACCGATAGCAGACTACCCAGTAGGAGGCCGGTAAGGTGGACGGAGTCATCTGAAGGTAATAATGTGTTTTCCCTACCTGCACTTAACAATGTGAGCTCATTCAGAGGACACTCTGGGAGGTTATTTCCTCTCACAAAGGGCACAGTCCATGTAAGTCTCCAATTCCAAAATAAATCTAAGCTTCAGTCACTCACGAAGCCATAAAGACATCCCATCCCCTAGACAACCTTGAGGGAGGTTCTAGATGGCAGAAAGCAAGATACTGGTTTTTAAAAGATGCCCCTCAGAAAGAGAAGTCTCATTATATTGAACACACTCATTCATTCATACATACACACACACACTTGTACAGACACACTCGTACAGACACACACATTCATATACACATCCACATTCATGCACACACTCACACACACACCTTTTCAACTATGCAAAAAAAAAAAAAACTTCTTAGATAATTTGTGGCTAGACTAGACAAGCAACTTGAAGTGGAAATCCAAATCCAGTTTTTAAGAAACACTTCGTACACACTTTCCCTTTTACCTTTGTATGCTTCAAGAAATTCTGTGTTATTCGTCGAAAAGCTAGCATGTACCCTCCTCAGCTCAACACTCTCCCAAACAGCACATCCAACTGCCATAAAACGTTAAAAAAAATGGATATTTAATTCAAGAGCTATAGGACGGGAAGCTACCATTTCCCTGCTGTTTCGTGGTATTTCATTATTCTGTTTAATAAGTTCATCTCCTCGAGAATTTTCTCTTCACCTCATATTATTAAAAGTAATAAGTTTTTCTGGACCGGGGGTTTCCCAACAGAAAAACCAATTTATGTGTGTCCTTCAATAATGACAGGAAAAGATTATTTCCCATTATACTGCCTACTTTTCATATCACCACCACAGCTTATCATTCAATAAATGTTACTCCGAGATTCTTTCCATTCCGCGAGGAAGTTAAATTTCTGCATTAACCTGTTTTCACCGGCCAACGCCTCACCAGAGAAAGCTCTGTGTCGCAGCACAATTAGTTCCTTAAAGAACCCATTTAGGAATCTCTTGTCAGTGATAAAACTGTCTTCAGTTAATAAAAGGACAGAGTGAGTGTACATCTTGATCACACACACGCATGCACACACACACAGGCACACATGCACATGCTCCCACACTCACACTCACTGTTAATCACACGCTTCCCCCCACTGAGGTGTTCTTTTATAATGAAAGGTAAATTAAACATTTATCTTAATAAAGGCGACTCATTCACACCTTCTGCACAGGGAGACGTTATCGGTATCGTCCGGGCTGTGAGGAGGGTTATAAATAGCATTCTCTTCACTTTGAAGGGAGATTTGCTGGCAATACCGTACCTTGTTTCCAGTTTTCCAGAAGAAATCTCTAATGGCCCGTAGCATTACGATTGCTACTGGGAACGTGGCATTTACCGTTTCTTTTCCAGTAGAAGTCTTAATAAAATCTGATCCTAAAACAAAAGCAAGAAAAACTCCCAGGTTAATTAAAAACTTACTTTTATACTTAAATCACTGAAAGAAGGGAATTATGTGCAAACCTTCCCCCCTCCCCCAAATCTCCCACGGACTTTACTTTTTTGGTAATTATGTGAAAAAAACTAAATTGAAAGTCTACCTTTAAAATATTTCTGTTTATATAAGAGTCAGAAGAAAGGGAGAAGGTTTGCAAATTGCCGACTTCTGAGCACAACATGGGTACTGCAATCATATCTCCCAGCAGCAGAGATTGTCGCTACCAGGCCTGTACAAGACTGAGCCTGTCTTAATCAGTCACATGTGGGGCTCTGCCCCTCCCTGTTGAACTTCTTGCTACTGGTGTGTTCTGGGGAAGGGCGGTGCCTCTTCGGTTAGATGCCCATGGCTAACCCACCAGGCTCCAAGGGACAGTTGTAAGCCCATAGCTGCATGGCCCTGCTTAAAATCTGTGGGTCACAAAACAAAACACAAAGACACAGATGTAGGAAAGGGGCATGTAAGGAAGTTCAGATGGGGTGGGGGGGGGTGATAGGAAGGAGAATAGAGGTGAGGGTAGGGTATGAAGAAGGGTTGGGGGAGAGTGATCAGAACACGTCATACACGTATGAAATGAACATGAAAAGAAAAAAGAAATCTCAAGAATTTTATTTTTCTTCACCATCAGTTAAATTAAATTAGCCAGTCGATGGTTTCTCATACTCTGGTATTCTTGTCTCCACATTTCACAGCCAATTAAAATCAAGTTGGTTTGTTTAATGCATAACTGAGATGAATAAAAACAATTTTATGCCCTATGCTCGCTACCATGTGTCTTGACACTTTCCCACAGAACTGTGCAGCGCCTACCCACTTCCCCTCGCTCTCTCCCACCCAGTGGAAAGCCCATGGCACAGTGTGACAAGCCCAGAACTGTCACAGGCTAGTACTGATGAAGTAGAGGCCTCTCAACCAGATGAAGATTTCCTGAAAGATGGTGTACTCTGTCACAGTTTGCAGATGTTTTCAACAACTTCCCTCTCTTGGATCTTCCGTAGATTTCATTAGGGCAGCACGGGAGATAAATGGTAACTGTGGTAGGGAGGGACTAGAACCTAGGTATTTCATGGCTGTCAGAAGAGCCAGGCCCTACCACTATTACTAAGTACTTCAAGAGGATGATGAGGCACCAAAATGTTAAGTAGCTTTCTTGAAGTCACATGGTACAGTCTCTCCCTGCACCCCCCCCCAGCCATTGCCTCTGTATGTGTGCGCGTGTGTGCGCGTGTGTGCGTGTGCCTGTGTGATTTCAGCTAAAGCAGGCTGTCTTAGTTTGTCTTTTAAAACTGTCCCAATTATCAGAGGTCACACCATCAGCCCAAACAGTGAAGCCTTCCTTCAGGTGGTACCTAGCCCAGCGGTTAAGTGTTTGAAACCCAACCCATCCATGCATAGTATGGGGTCACAAGATACTGCTAGAGAAGGAAGTTCTGGAGATTTGTTTCATAGAAGGGTGAAGACCCACCATGATGACGTATGTGGTATCACATCCACATGGAGTGTGAGCTTTGGACGCTTTCACCATGAAGAAATGACAAATGACTAAAAACATATTCACAGGGATTTGACTATTACCCAAGGAATATATACATACTGAAAACATCACATGCCCACCCACTAATATGATCAATTTTTATTTATCAGTTTAAACGGATTACATTTTTGGATAAAAGAAGTCCATGTTCTCTGTCTCCACAATAGGCTGACTGACTCAGACTTTAACATACATGAGGTTGTCAGGCACACTTAGGTACAAATACACAGGCTTCCATCTAATCTGCAGAACAATGCTTAAAATTAATTTGAGTCTCTCAGAATCTATCAAAGAAACGTGGGACAGAACATAAATGAATAAACAACCTAAATTTTCCTTATTACATACACATACACCGTGAAAGTTCAAGTAGATACACCTTCATAACACACTCAGTGAAGGCTCAAGTTGATACAGCTTTGTTACACATACAGTGTAACAAGTAGATACACTCATGACACAGGGCATGAAGGTACTGCATGGGTAATAAAGACACAGCAAACCCACAACCTTGCCTTCCAAACTAGGACAACCCTAGAGGAATCACACGAAGGGTTGGGAGGAGGCCTAAAATCCAGCTCTGGTCCTCATGGTAGCCATGCAAATTCAATCTTACCCCTTTCTAGGAAGAGTCTACAAAGGGTGCTTCACAGGCATCAAAGGGGGAAATGTGAGTGAAAACACCTAAATCCCTGAAGGCTTATACAAGCACAGACGGACCTCAGTGGAGGCATTTGTGGCTGTGGCCCACAGAAGCTCACAATGCTCTAAGCGCCAGAGATCATGGGCGGTTCTGAAGGGAGCTCAGAAAACCAATGCCTGCCGAGAGAAATGCAAACAGGAAAGTGTGATCATGGGGTTTCCCAGGGTCACAAAGGCTCCTGGGAATCATGTCCTGAAAAACCCGAGGAAGGCTGGATTCCAAAAGCATTGCCTGATGTTTTTGGTGAAAGAAATTCGGAGACAGTATGACATGCAGAGTGTGCCATGGCCACTGTTCACTGTATTTACTCAGATTTACAGGGAGAAAGGGAAGAAAAGTTTAGTGGAAAGATAAACAATTTGGGCAAGAAAAGCGCCTGCATCTACTTAAAGTGAAGGACAGCAGGAAATAAGGCGATGGTAATTATAACTCTCTGTTAAGAAGATTTTCTCTGGGACAATAAGAAAGGTGCCTGGAAGGCAACCTCCTTCATCAAAAGCGCCAGAGTGCAAAAATGAAAATTCACTTAAAGGGAATGGATTGAAAAGGTAAGTCTTCAGGGTTCCCAACTCAAGAAGGCTCTTCACAGATTTAGTCACTAAGGCCAATAGAGGTCACTACAGCTACAGGTGTGTTGCAAGAGGGACAAATGGCATCTCAGGGTAGCAAGAGACGAGGTGTGTGTGTGTGTGTGTGTGTGTGTGTGTGTGTGTGTGCGCGCGCGCGCACGCTCACACACACACACATAAGTATGCCAGGGTTCACATGTGGCAGCCAGAGGACAACTTGTCAGAACTGGTTCTCTCTTTCCATCATGAAGGTTCTCAGGATTGGATGGTCAGTCTTGAGGCAAGTTCCCTTATTCACTGAGCCATCTCCCCCTAAGAATAGACTTATTGAGGACTCTTATGCCTTGCTGAAGTAACAGTCCATTTGCTGTATACAATGCCTTTCCTTTAAGCCTTCAGGATGCTCTTAAGATCGGCTTTGTGTGGTAACAATGCAGCTATTCCCATGACTTAGCACAGTGTTCCTCTCCAACCCCTTGAATCTTTATCGTGGATTTCTTATAAACATTCAGTATGGGCTTGGTCGGTGTATGTTTTTTTTTTAAGACTCTTCTTTTAATTGGTATATTTAGACCATTAACATTTAAAGTGATTATTGATTCTGTTGGAGTAATATCTGCCATGTTTATACCTCTGCCATCTGTTCTATTTTTTGTTAATTTTCACACCCCTTTTGGGTCTTCTCTGACTTATTTGAACATTCTTCATCATTTCGTTTTATTTCCTCTCATCACAGCAATTATGTTTCTCTCATATACTATTCAGAGACCACCCTGGTGCTTTTAATACACATTTTGTCATTTCATCTCAGTCCATCTTCAAACAACACTACACTACTAGGTGGGTACTGCCAGAGCCGTCACCTTTTAATGAAGGGTTCCTAAATTCTTCCTTCTCTTTGTCGAAGTCCTGCTGTCACTCAGTCAGAGCTTGTGGTCCTTCTCCCCACAGGCCTTCCTTCAACACTTCCTGTGGGGCAGGATCCATGCCCTGCCTTGCTCAGCTTTCCTTATGGACAAGGACATCACTGTACCAGAGCGCTATTGTTGAGCACTTCCCTCCAAGCACTGCTGGCCTGGTTTCTGAAGGTCAGATCACTGGAATCACTTCCCCTCTGTTGAGGTCATTTTCTTTGTCTTGTTTTCTTTCTCTGGCTTATTTCCTGTTTGCCTTTGGCTTTCTCCTGTTTGCATATGCTATGACAAAGGACTGCTTTCTTTTTCAGTCTTCCTTGGCATTCTCTGACTTTCCTAGATCTATGATTAAGACTTGCCCTTGATTTTGGAACATTTGTGGCTTTTAGACTCCCTTTATATATTTCCCCTCGCTCTCTATTCTTTCTCTCTGGTATTGGAATTATACAGGGTTATAAGTTCTGAAATTCTCCTCAAGTTTTTGGAGGTTCCGTCTTTCCTAACAACTCTTTACATTTTAGTCTGGGAAGCATCCATCAACCTATCGTCGTGGTCAAGTGGGAAAATAAGACCTGGAAGTATTAAGTATCCAGCCCAGTTTGTCCTTCCTAGAAATAAGGCACAGGAATACTGTGCACATATGCCAAATAAACAGGATGATCAGAAAGACCTGCAGAGTTCAAATTAATCCATTTAACCAGACAAATGTAGGGAAAATACATGGGTGCAATTTGTTACAGACCCCAAAAGACAGGTGAAACTGAAAGATGGGAAGGTGCGTGTGAGAACTTGGTCATCAGACAAAAGCATCAGGTGCACAAAGGATGAGACACATCCTCTACTTCAGGAAGTCTTTAGTGGAACTGATTATATAAGCAAGGCTATTTAGGGGCTGCTGCTGTTGGCCTGGGGACGACTCAGTGGAATATGTACCCAGCATACCGGAAGCCCCGGGTTCCATCAAAGCTATTGTTAACACTTCTTACATTAAAAACTCTAGAGGGTTTTGAACCTGCAAACATCTGGCGTCTGTCCTTGGGGCCCCATGAGGTCTAATCACAGGACTCTGGAGTTTGCCGATGCTACATTTACTGTCTTGGATTGGATAGTACTTGCTTTGGATATCAGGGAGAACATCTGAGAATGTACAGCATTTAGTTCAGGCATTAAGGAAACTGACTTTCATTAAATTAAAAGAAAAATCAAGATTAGATTACAC